AACAAAAACAAAAAGAACCTTGAAATTTAACATTAACGCTTTCCTTAATTAACTAATTAAAAACAATAGAATAGCAGTTGCAATTGCTATTGGTATAAATAGTTTATCGAAAATAAGTTTCTTAAATAAAATATAGTCGAATTTTGCTATCCCAAAGATAAAGCCAAATCTACAGCACAGTTGATGGGGCTGATTACCTCTCACTACTGTCGCTGCACATGGAGCCTATATAAGGCTGCATTAAATATTGTATGCCATGCCAATGCCAATGAATTCTATAGATGTAGTTTAATTGTGAATGATTTTAAAGGTTTTTTATTTTTTTCAGGTAAGGATCAGTTTTTGCAGACTGTGGTTTGTATAACACCTATATACAATTAATTTTTGGTCTAAATAATTAAGATATTATATAATTACAACTTTCGCTGTTGAATTGTGCTCCAAAGTTGATTGAAAAGTGGTCCAAGGTCCTGATAAATTAAGAAATGTTACGCAATTCCAAAAAGTTTTTGTATTTAGTATTTTTAGTTTTCGAGAAAATAGAACGAAGTCAAAAAGAGAGTTGAAAGATTTCTTTTTCTGTACGCAGAAGAGTAGAATGCAAAACATATGGTTGATTGTATAAAACGCTTATAATGTATCTAGCACGTATCCAATTTTAATAATTAATATTCAGAAGTGAAATTAAAACAAATCCACTTTTAATTTTATTTAATTTATGTAAAGTAAAATTAAAAGTAAAACAGATTTGCTAGCGCCGTGTTCCACTTTTATCTCAATATTTGTTGTTGTCTTGAATGTTATGACTACCGTGAGACAAATCTAAAATGTGACAAAATAGCTGATTCAACAAGATAATCTCTCAATAAGCGACCTTGAACAAAGACGTGATGTCACCAAATGCCAACGCATCTTGAAATATCAATAAAATCGATTGATTAACTAAAATTACTCTCTCCATATGATTAAATTTTGTTTGGTTAAAATGTTATTGACAAAACAAGTACCTAGAGTAATAAGTGTAGCATGCAAGAAACAATTGAAATTCCTATTGGGGTCATTCCGCTGTATTTTTTTCTTTACTTCTTTCGAATTGTTATTTATCGATATCGTAGATCAATTTACCGAGACAGGGAAAGTAATTCACTGTTGCAATTTTAATCAGGTTGAATAAACCAAACAAACTCGCATATGAATTTGTAATATACTGTAGATACTGAAAAAGGAATTAGGTCTAACCGCATAGCATATAATAAAAAACCTCAAAATTGGTTGACGTGTGTATCGAACAAGAAGAGTAGAAATAGGAGCACTTCTCTATTTAGTCTTCTTGCTATCGATTATCGACTTATACGATCATTGATCAATTTTATATTTACTATATAATGGAACAATGTGACATAACATTTTTAGAAATATATTTATGGTAGAGATTATTTAGTAGATACAAGGATGGCATATTTGCTAATAGAATATTTGACATTTAAGATTATATTACAATGATACCCTGCCTGTACATGGGTATCTATAAAGTAAACTGTAAAAGTCAAAATTAAGGCCGATTATATCAAACATTTTGTTACTGCTTGTTGTTGTATTTATGTAACTAAATTAATAATAAGCAATTTTCATCTGAGAAATTTCATTAAATATGCACCAACAACAATGATGAGACTTTCCGAATTATCTGTGTAATAGGAGTAATTGTTTTGTTTTTTTTCTTTATTGAAGTTTGTGCAATAAATTAGCTTGTGTGGTTATTTTAAGAAATGCTCATTTGGTAACAAATTTTTACCATAATCAATTAAACATGGGAAAATTAGCCAAATTTGATTGTTCGAACCCGTGGTTTACACAACATTACACATTTGTTCATTTTATCAATTGAAATTTTATATGGTAATTTTTTAATTTAGAAATTATCAACGCTCGGCTGGGCAAGTGAAAGCATTTAAAATCATATTAAACAAATAATTACTATCGAGCACAAACACCAAAATTCGTTTTTAAACATTATGTAAATTATTAATAAATTACTGAAGGTTAAAGTTTAAGCATACCTGATATGAAAAATATCCCACTTATGAAGTACATGAAATTTTACTATGGTGAATAATATGTGCAACGAAAACATAAAAAATTTTAACTCGGTAAGGTAAAATGCTTCATATACGCCCACGTGGTGTAATATGTCATATGAAAGTAAGTGTAACAATTACATTGATTTAAATTAAAACGGTTCTATAGTAATGCAGAGTCGTGTACTGCCTTTAGCCTTTAGTATGACTGTAATTAACTAGCTGTTTTGAATATTAAGTATGGGCTGCAACAACATGGAAAAAAATCACTTTTATTATTCAAGTAGAATGAACGTTCTTGAAAAGAATGGAAATAATTGTGTTAATAGATGTAATAACACCCTCCATATTGCCTAATTGTTAATTGTAGGTAATACGAGTTGAACCTGAATGAATCCTTATACGACGATCCAACGCATTTAGTTCCTGTTAACTTTCTATTGCTTCCTGATATTTGCGGTCTTGCCAAATTGAGAATGGAAAATAAAAAATATTATTTCGAAGTGAACTTTTCTTTCGAGATATGTCGATATCGTTGAATTAATTAGTAAAGTGTTTCTCACACATTTTATTAACACTTTCAAATTGTAATTAATCGAATGTGTATTATGCAAATAAATCTGGCATGGCATTGTTCTCAATTAGTTTGTTGTTAAAAATCCCGACGAAAATGACTTTTCAATGCAATTTGATTTTAGCCAGACAAAAATTAACATACAATTTGTTTGAATGTATATTTTTATTTGTTCAATAAGTCGAAACGTATGGAATAAATCTTGATAAGCAATGAGCATTGTATTTAGATTTTTGTCTTTATAAAATTTATTGTTTTTTATTCATTTCAAAAGATTCAAAGATACCGAAAACGAAAGTTTCTATTAAAAAAATTGAATCGAGATAAAAGATTTTAATTATTATATGTACAAATATTTGAAAATGTAATCGCCACACCCTTATATTCATACGATAAATATTATTTTGAACGTGAAAAATTAATGAAATAACCGACCGAACAACAATTATATGCAATAAAATACCTACATGAAGATTTACAGCAAAATTTTCAAAAGTAATTAATCAATGCAAGCTTATCGAAATTAACACCTTTCATAGCAGGCAAAGCAAGGCAAGGCAAATAAATTGCAATGTAACGGAGAACATAAAGTCTTATTTGAAAAATTAATAATACGATTAAATTTGCTTGTTTTGCTTTAACAATAAATGAATAGTATATTATGTATCAATTTTAATTACAAATTTTAATTAGGCACGAGCAAAGCGTGCGAGCGGGTCTTTAATTAAATAGTGTCCAGAAAAGTTTATAAACGTACTTTTGGATAACACAACATAATAAAGAAAATTTTATGACAACCGGACCCTCCGAACCCGCGAAATTGAATAATTCCCGTTATTTTCTGAACACACCTCGTATAGAGAGACATCTCTACAAAAACTCGCGTGAGAATTTCTAACTTGGGAATCCGGTCAAAATGTCAAATTTGTATGTGTAAATCGAAATATATCCCTTGAAAATGGACTAACAACCGTTTAAATCTGATATAGAAGCAATTTTTTACAGTAAAAGTGAAGAGAATGTTTTATGGGAAATTTTTAATGCGGTATCAGTTAAATCTAGTTTACTGCCCGCGAAACCAAAAGTTTAGTAAAAACGTACCCATAAACTTTTCAAATAGGTATTGGCGTTGAGAAACTACTTCATACTTTTGTATTTTTGTATTGAGATAATAAAATACTTTTATCCGAAATCGGCAGTAAAGTAGAACTTAACTGCCGATTTAATACGAGTATTGTATGCAACCCATTATACATTTTAAGATGTGTCTACTGCTCCTCAGCAGCAACCAAATAATATTAAAAAAAGCACCGTCGTTGAGGTCGACTGGACCCTTTCATAAAATGTTGTTTAATAAAAATAATAAGTTAATTTTATTAATTAGATTAAAAAATCCCCGCGGCGGGCAAATATATAATAACCGTCGCAACAAACAGTATACAACTTTACTGCCTTGATACATAAATAACTATTACATTTAGTATTATTTATTTTAACGATTCTATGACATTTGACAACTGTTAACTAAGTTTAGCCCGTGACTAAAAACCTGTTGCTAACTTCAGCCCGTGACTAAAGAGCCATAAAACCATAGTTTGTCAATGTGTATTTAAAAGATAACTTAGTGTCATGGAAACATGTACGATAATGGGCTTTTTAAAGGTGGAATTAAAAAAAAAAGTTAATTGTGTTTCAATTAAAAGTTTCTTTATTTGCCCTAAAGATCTAAATAATTAACTATATGTATACATGCAATTTCCTTATTACCTCAACAATTAATCTACAATCTCGTTAATTTGTATACTTACATTAAATTTGTGTGTTCAATTGATTTATTGTTGCTATTTTTAGACCTAGTTCCCATGTACTTATGTAGACATTTTGACATGGTTTATGTCAAAATTTATTTTGCATATTATGTTATTATGAGGCGAGTGCAATAAAATTTCAAATAATATATAATTTAATAAATTTATTGGCACAAAAAATTTACGAAATTAAATATGTATTATAAATCATAATTATAAACCATGAAATGGTAATAAAATATATTGCTATGTATATTTTCGAAGAACTTATTTCAAAATGATCAATTCTTAATGTCAAGATTTTGTAATTAAGCGCTTATATGGGTAACAATTAAAATTGAGTTTTAAAGTTTATTATGATCACTAACAAGGCATACTTCCAATTGAGGGTAACCTTGTTGGAAAAAGTGTTTAGGTCAACAAAAAACCATTTTCAATTAGCAAACAAATTGCTGTTTTGGGATGCATGAACATTTAATGTAAATTAGATTAGTAGCACAAGCACAAGTACTAGTAGTTATTTGTTGTTGGATGTTTTAGATGTCACAACCGCCCAAAGAAAAGTCAGCAGAAACATCCAGGTGGGCGCTGATGTAAAAACCAACGTCAACTTTGATTGTCCCGAAGAGTTCGGGTATTACCCACATCCAAATGATTGCACACAATATTACGTGTGCGTTTTTGGAGGCGCCTTACTCGAATCTTGCACAGGAGGCTTGATGTACAGTCACGAACTCCAAACGTGCGATTGGCCCAGAAATGTAGGGTGCGATGGAAGCGAAATATCTTCCGAACAAAGGGTCACCTCAGGACCTAGTCCAAGCCGGGGCAGAGAACAAAGGGAGCGCGAGCGCGAACGCGAGAGAGATGAACCAAGACAAAGATACTCTCCGCCACCTCCACCCCCACCAGCACAACCTGCTGCAGTGGTCACCTCCAGAGGTCAACCAAGACAACTTCATCCCACGCAACAGGAAATCATCAAACAACAACAGCAACAACAACTCTACGCTGATGCGGACGATGTTCTTCCTCCAGCTGAAGAGATTGAAAATGACAGACAGCAAAGGGTTTACAGAGGACAACCATCCACAATTGGTCAAGTACAGAGGGATAGAGATGGTCTTAGACACACTAACGCACTTCCTGTAAGTGTACCTACTTATTTTTGTTTATGGCTTTATTCGTTATTTGCTTTTATTTGTGTAGTCCTATAGCAGTCGCGGAGAAAAGATCGGAGTAATATCCTTTGGAACCGGAAACCAGCAACATTATAGGTAAGTCTTCTACTGACGAAGAGTTCTATCATTGATCATGTTTTATTATCAGCGATGACTTTTTACAAACAAACGACTTGACAATAAAAAGAAGACAAAAACGACAAATAAACCGAAGGTAAAATATCGCCAATAAACATTAAACCAAATGTAGACTGTTACTTATTATATTTTAGTCATCATCGGGAAGGTGAATTGTGGCATGGCGGACAACAAAGTAACAATAAAAACACGTTTAGACTAAATCCTATATTATTACAAGCCCCTCCGATTAATAAGCAACCTTTTAAATCTAGCAATCAGGATGATGGTTTTCAACCTTTCGTACCTGAATACAAAAGGAACTACCATCCTGTCACGCAAAATGTGCAAAGCTCGCAAAATTTTAACTTTTTACCCTTACAAAATACTAGAAGCGTTGCAAAACCGGGAGGGAATTATCAGGATAACTACCAGTACTTCAACATAGGGCCAACAAAGTCCCCACCTTCAAAAAACAAAATTTTCGATAGTAATTCTATAAGGCACACAGTGGAGTATAATTATAACCAAAGTCCTAGAATAGTTTTACAGCCTGCTTTTACTACAATAGTGGAAAGACATCCTATTAAATATGTGAACACCACGACGAATTTCAAGTATTTAACAGACGCTGTGACAAGCTCGTTTAAACCACATGACCAAGTGTTGTCCACCACCGAAAAATACTTAAAAGAGGAAACTATCCAAAGCACAACAAACGAAGAAGGGGATGAATATTACGATGACGAGGATGAAGAAGACCATAGGTACCAACAATCGAACAACACCTTAGAAAGACCGCACGATGATTATTTTAAACCGCCCCCAACTTTCTACAAGACCGAAAATAAATATGCCAACATTGAAAACCCGTTTGCCAATCCAAGCTTCAATTACGACAAATTTTTGGATAGCCTCAGAGGACCATCGACGACCACCACAACGGTGAAACCTAAAGCCGCAACACAATCATACAAGCTTCAGAACGAAGCACTATTAGAAAAAGTGCGTTATAGTCCCAATAGTTTTAATAGCAAGCACTCGCTTAAAGATGTTAGAACGCCTGTGCCATTACTAGATAATAAACTAAACCTTACTAAATCGAAAGTACCAGTAAGCGATTATTATTACTACGAATATGAAGATGTAGGTAAACCTAAGATTTATTCTAGTCAAATAAAGTCCCACACGAAGCCGGTGCCCAAAAAGCCTTATATCGAGTACGAGTACTATTACGAGGAATACGACTATCCTGACTCGAAGGAAGATGCCAAAAATAACTCCACTGAGATGAAGTATTCAGCCAGATACCAGGATATAATTGGCAAGAAACTGAACAAGACAGAGCCGATATCTAGCACATTAAAAGTAAAAGAAGTTGTCAGTAGTACGACCCCAAAAGTGATATACACTATACGTCCAAGGATAAAACCTCAAACTGTGAAAAGCACAACTGTCAAAGCTGCAAGAGGACAATCTCGATTAAGACTTACCACGACCCACCATCTAACTGACAATGACTCAAAACATTCGAAAAGGTAATGTGACTATTAAGACCTGTGACTAACTCTTTTCTATTGTAAATACGTTTATTATGGCTTAATGTGATGTAATTATAATTTTCCACTTTAATTGTCTGAAAATTTGTAAAACACTATTATGAAATACTTAAATAAAATACATAATTTAATATTGGCATCCAGACCAAATGTTTAATTTCTCAATTAAATTATTATTTCTGGCCATTTAAATTCATTCATGTAACCTGTATGTTTAATAAGGCTTCAAATTTTTGCAACGTGATTTTTAAAATTATACGAATTAAAAATTAAATATGGTTCATACGTGTCGGTGAAAGTCATTAAGCAATTATTAAATAGCATATTGCAATTTCTATTTATTTTATTTCAACTGTCAATACCAGTACACTACAAAAGTGCCAGGATGGATGATGGTATTACTATAGAATGTTCAGTGTCATTATCTTTTTGTACCTATCATTGCATGTTATATAATGTACATACTTTTTATACAAAGACTAACAGACTGTACATATCTGACCTTTACACCTAAGTAGGGCATCATTCACAATAATTGTTGTACTATAAATCCATTATATTTTATTCTTATTCACACAAGCGAGGAAAGCAGCGTTGCACCTTCAATATCCACTGCTACTGCCACAGCAAGAACATTGTACAATAGCAGTCAGTATTCTGGAAATCATTATGACCCATTATACCCTCTCTATGATGAAGATGTTGAATTATACAGAGACGTTGGTAAAAAATCAAAAATATATTGCCTATTTTGATTTTAAATATAAATGTTTGTAGATTATTCCCACAATAGTGCCTATGGTAACAGCAATGAAGGCTCAGGAAAAACTCCAGCACCAACTTATAGAGGCACCCCAGCACCAGCTATTCAATCGACTGTAAGCCACGAAGACGTCCCCAAAAATCGCGGCAACACTGTTTACATTCAAAACCAACCACAGTACCAGCCACAGGATATTTACCAACAATCCACTGTATCCGATTATAGTGATGATAACTCTTACAACAACCAACAGGTAATTGATTAAAGTTAATGTTTTGAATTGAATTAAATTAGTTGTTTTAGCTTGACGATCAATCGGGGTACAGACAATCAGGCAGACAACCGTCTAGGTAAGTATTTGCAAAGCCAAATTAAAACTTGTAAAACAAACAAGGAACACCTTAGGGGAGACAGGAATGATTTAAATGATGTTGAGGAGGCCACCACTAAAAGAGTTACTACTACCACCAGAAAACCCACTACCACAAGAATAACTACAAGAACAACCACTACAACGACTACCCAACGTACTATTCCCCCTAAAAAGAATACAATTCCTTCGAGGTACTACAAAACTTTCCACAACAAAGTTTTCGTTTTTCTATTTTCAATGCATGATCATTTTCATTAAGGCATTTTGTTGCTTTGATTTTTTTTATTTATTTATTTAACTGCGATTTCATTCATCCATTCTATACTTTTGGTAAATTGGTTGTTACTCTAACTAACCTTTTCAGTAGACAGTAGTTAAACATACATTTATTTGACAATCTTAAAATTTTTGTAACAACCAACTTATTTAGCTATTTTGTAGTATCTTTCGTTACAGAGTCCAAAATACTTAATACAAAAACATATATAACCCATAAGACGATTGTCTGTTGAGTAGTAGTATAACACTATAGTCTATAGTATCAAATTTAACACAAGTAATGAGTAAAATAGCGTAGCGTAGTCTCTTTCATCATCATTTTATACATAATTTAATATAACTATTGTAGATTTGTTGGGGTTTGTAACATTCGAGGAGCATTATTTGATGCTCTGCATTAATTTGTAACGGAAAATAAAAAGGTATCGTTTATTCTAGCAGAACGCCTGTCACAACCAATGAGAACCAAACACAAGCACAGTCAATAATTAATACAAAACCGGAAGACCCGGGACACAGCCCCTATACTCTGGCCCTTATCCGAAATGATCCTCATTATAACAAATATGATAGACTTGACTTAACTACGACTACCATGCCTGTAACATATAGACCGAAATATCCATCCGTCGATGCATTTACTGATTCTTCTTTGCATGCACCTTTAAGAACCGCAGTGGTTAGAAATCCTACTCCTTTTGCTCTTCCCATGCATTTAACTACTGAAAAACCTGCTGCTGCTGCTTATCATTTTATTACTAAATCTCCCTTCTCAACTACTGATAACAATATTATTAAAACAACAGATTCCTCGAGTAAAAAAGATAGTAGAAGGTACACACCAGCGCAAAGTGTAAACTCTACATTCGTAACGGTACGTAAAGCAATTGTACCAACTACGTACTCACCTCCGAAATTCTTTTTGAAATCTATATTCCCCAGGCCCGTTGTTGATTCTCAAGTATTTAGTTTTAACACAAATAAAACTTATAAAGGTGAAAACTCTGTAAATAAACCAACCATTAAAACACTGAAATCTGTCAGAAAATTAATCAATCCTATTACCGTTAATCATGAGTTATCCTCTAACGGAGCCAGTTTCGAGTCTGCAGAAAAATTGTTATCGGCTTTCGTGTTCGATAATGATAATAGCGAGGAACAATCGACAATCAAAGCTAATTATAATAGCGTTGAACCGTTTCGATTAAGACTTCCGATTACTACAAGTACTACAACTACTACTACCACCACGACTACTACGACCACCCCTAAGGTAACAACTACTACCACTCAAGTGAGTAGTACGGAAAGTGAGAGACCGTTTAACAGTAAAACGAAGCTGAGTGACGAATACATAAGAGAAAAGTTACAGTCGGGACTTTTGAAAGAAAAATTGAGACTTTACGTTGACCCTGACCAAATTAGTAATATTGCACCTAACCAAAAACGTTTTCGCACTACCGTAGAACTTCCCCCAGCACATGCCTTTATAGATCAAGACCAAGATCAATATAAACAAAAACCCGAGCCCGATCAGTTACCTTCGTACAAACCAAAACCTTTCCCGAAACCGATTCAACCAGTTCAATCAGCAATTTTACAAACAGTGACTAACAATAAGACTGACATGGCATCCTTCAATTCATCCTCCCCAGCTCGAGTCTCCCGGGTAAATGCCGCAATTAAATCATTAATTGCTATCGGGGGAACGCGGAAGCAAAGCCAAAAATGTATCGAACCGAAATGCAACGAGACCAAGAGGTATTTATTCCTCATATAATAGGCTGCAAAGTATAATTTTGCATGAACACCGATCTTTGTTTTAATAATCTGCACCATTTCTAGTTAACTTTATTATTATTATTATTACTATTATTATTATTATCCTGTACACGCTTCTTTGTATTGACTATTCACGACGATATTTAACTCCTCTTAAGACTGGATATGTTGACAATTGACCTAAATCCATTCATCCTGACATGTAACACTTGGCACAATTTAACACACACAATATGGTTATTGTCACAATCAAAATTCAGCGGATGTGGTGAAATAATAACGAGTAGCTAGAGCAAATACCACTAAAACCATTAGAAAAAAAACGCAGTGCATGTGTTGATTAGGGTGAACAGTAACTAAGCACCACCCACCACAGTGTAGATAAAACATAGTTTACGTGGTGTATTCATTGTTTATAGAACCAACTCCAGAGGACGCGGCTCCACTCATTATTCCGCTTCTGGTGGTACTGCTGGCAATGTAGTAAACAATGAAGTCACTGTCACTGTCAACCGTGGTACTCCGTAAGTAGACACACGTACTAAAAAAACATAAAATAATATTTCAATTTAGTCGCTCTAGACCAACGTTGAAACCGTCTACATCCATTGTTGATCGATCCAGAGCTTCGGAACCGGTTGACATCTACAGGTTTCCTCCAAGGCGACCAGATCCGATCTACCCTCAACCACAACCGGACAAAACAGCTGCCAAATGCCGTAAGGATGTTTGCTTGCTCCCTGATTGCAGTTGCGGAGGGAAAGAAATTCCCGGTATGTACTATTTTTAGAATTATTTTGCTATTAGTTGTTGTAGTAGTAGTAGGCAATTACAGAAGGATGTAGCAGATAGAAGATACATTGCGTTCGTGTTTTTAATTGTTTATTTAAAATAGGAAATATTCCTGTCGAAGAAACACCTCAGATGGTTTTGATAACATTTGACGATGCCGTTAGCGATTTAAATAAACAATATTATATTGATTTATTTGAAAATGGTCGCACTAATCCGAATGGCTGTCCGATCTCGGCCACTTTTTACGTATCTCATGAGTGGACTGATTATAGCCATGTTCAGAACCTCTACGCCGATGGCCACGAGATGGCATCACACACCGTTTCGTAAGTGGCCGCCTTCGCCGAAAAGTGCAACACACAGCTGAACTTGACTTTACTATACTGTCTATTTGACTAGCTTTAAATTTCTTCAATCAATCAATGCTATTATTATGATTAACTGATTTTCTCTCTTTGCATACTAACAAATAGGTGACCTCCCTGTTGAACAAGTACCCCAAATTGTTCTACTCACTTTTGACGATTCGGTGAATGATCTCAACAAAGGTTTGTACAGCGATCTCTTCGAAAAAGGTAGAACAAATCCGAACGGATGCCCTATCGCTGCCACGTTTTACGCTTCCCACGAATGGACTGACTACAGCCAAGTCCAAAACCTCTATTCTGATGGTCATGAAATTGCTTCCCATACCGTGTCGTAAGTCATAAGCCATAAATGTCATTGCACTGTACAGTATCATCATTATGCACAATAACCTTTTTGCAGTAGAACAACGGTTGTACAATTTGCTCTTAACATGGAATTGCCGCTTAAACCTAACCTAATCTTATTTTCTTAAAGCGTACTAACTGCAATATATCTCCCCAAACAAATACAAATTTAACAATTTTTATCCTGTAAATAGTCACAGCTTCGGCGAGCAGTTCTCCCAGAAGAGATGGACCCGTGAAGTCGCTGGTCAAAGAGAAATCCTTTCCGCATACGGAGGTGTCCACCTGGAAGACGTGAGAGGAATGAGAGCTCCATTCTTATCGGTTGGAGGCAACAAAATGTTTAAAATGTTATACGATTCGAACTTCACCTACGACTCATCCATGCCAATCTACGAAAACAAACCACCAAGTTGGCCTTACACTTTGGATTACAAACTTTTCCACGACTGCATGATTCCGCCCTGCCCCACAAGATCATACCCAGGCGTCTGGGAAGTCCCTATGGTCATGTGGCAAGATCTAAACGGAGGCAGATGTTCCATGGGTGACGCTTGCAGCAATCCACCTGATTCTGACGGAGTCTTCAAGATGCTGACCAAAAACTTCCAAAGACATTACACCACCAACAGAGCTCCATTCGGTTTGTTTTACCATGCCGCCTGGTTTACACAACCACACCACAAAGAAGGTTTCATCAAGTTTATCGACAGTATTTTAGCCATGAAGGATGTCTGGCTGGTCACCAACTGGCAAGCGCTCCAATGGGTCAGGGATCCAACACCATCAGGCAGATTGGGAAATTTCCAACCATTCCAATGTGATTTCTCTGTATGTTTTTTTCATCATAAATGCTAGACTCGTAGTAAATTTATTTTTTCTTTAGGATCGGCCAAAGAGATGCAACAATCCCAAGGTTTGCAATTTATGGCACAAATCAGGAGTAAGGTATATGAGGACCTGCCAACCATGTCCAGAAATCTACCCGTGGACCGGCAAAACAGGAATACAAAGCAGTAAAATTGACAATGACATCGAAGATTAATTTGTTAAGAACTAAATTTTGCCAAGTTAATGATTTAGTTAGGCCATTGCGACATTATTTTCAATGTTGCTTGTAATTTAAGCTATCTAAGATATGTATTTATGTTTTTTTCTAGATGTTGTCCAGATGTCTTGTTACATCGCTATAGTGATGTTACTCATATCTGATCAACATCAAACTATGGCCTTATAGTAAATTGTAAATATAATTATTAGAAAAAACTCTTATTCTCTTATTGTACTGCCGATAAACTTAATGTTTGATAATCTTATTTAATTGTGTGGTTCCTCAACTGCAAATTGTGCAGTTAGAAGGATATACTTTCTTACCTATTATATTTAAAATACCTAATTTATTTGTATAATTCAAATTAATATAAGCGAAGTATCGAATTGTGAACCAGTGATAAATTATATAAAATATTCTTATAAAAATCTGGTACTTTTATTTAATTACCCTTTCAAACTAATTATCGAATTAATTGAAAACCAAATAAAAACCAATAATATCATTTTTTAAGGCAGCTGCTTCAATTAAATATTAAAACCAATAAATATTAAATAAAAACGGTCTAAAACCTTACTGTCTGCCGTCTGCCAACATTCAGTTACTTTGTTATTATGAAGATCTCAATATTGTCTACTATCGTTGTACTTTTACTTACAACTTATGTTTTCTCGATTAAAAATGTCAATAAAAGAGCATTGCAAAAATCCCACGAAAAACCTCAATGGCAAAGGTGGTCAGACGTTTTCCTCGGAAGGGATACATTGGATCAAGTTCCTTCTTTAGTGCAGTTAATTAGAAAACTATCAGTGGAATATTTATCGGACTGCACACCAGTAATACTCTATGATGGATTTTCTGAATCCGCCGGCAACTTACTTTTGGAACAATTGTTTAGAAACCACCCAATGACTTACATACATGGGCAGATAACCGAAAATTATACCATAAAAGTAAGCGGCGTCAGGCAAAATATGAAAACATGTATAAGTTACATTTTAATCATGAAAGACGTGATGAGGTGCCGGGATGTAATCGGTGAACAGCATAGCAATAAAGTTGTTGTGGTGGCTCAATCGAGTCAGTGGAGAGTTTTCGAATTTCTATCAAACGAAAGGTCGCAGAGTTTCACTAATTTACTGGTTATCACCAAGTCGGAAAGGGCTGCCACAGCATCGCTTGAATCTTCCTATATCTTGTACACGCACGAACTCTACTTGGACGCTTTGGGCTCCAGCGGACCCGCAGTGTTAACTTCCTGGACTAAGGGCAGATTTGCAAGACCCAACACAAACTTGTTTCCGAAAAAAATTACCAAGGGATTTTCTGGCCATCGATTTATTATATCTATTGCCCATCAACCTCCCTATGTTATCAGAAAGTAATACTTAAAAAAAAACACGAATGATACTCAATTCGTATTTTTAGGTCTCGCAACACAGATGGTGACTATGAGTTTGATGGCAGTGAAATCCGACTAATCAACTTATTATCAAAAGTATTCAACTTTACAACCGACTACAGATATGCTGCTGAATATGAAATCTTGGGTTCCTCTGAAGCTGTAGCAAAGCAGGTGTATCAAGGACGAGCAAATTTAGGTGCTGCAGGGCTGTATACCACACAAGACAGAATCAATAAAATCGGGGTGTCACACTGGCATTCGCAGGATTGTGCCGCTTTTGTTTCGCTTACGTCTACAGCGTTGCCACGGTATAGGGCTATTTTAGGACCTTTTCATTGGACTGTATGGCTGGCTTTGACTTTGACTTACTTATTGGCCATATTTCCTTTAGCATTTTCCGATAAACATACCTTAAAACATTTAATACGAAATCCCGAAGAGATGGAAAATATGTTTTGGTATGTATTTGGTACATTTACTAATTGTTTTACTTTTACTGGTAAAGGATCCTGGAGTAAGGCGGAAAAAATGACAACTCGCCTACTAGTTGGTAATATAACCTTTATATACCCACTATATAGTTAAAAAATAATCGGATAAATTTTCAGCATTTTACTGGCTTTTCACCATTATAGTAACATCATGTTACACAGGCTCTATTATAGCATTTGTTACATTACCTATTTATCCATCAGTTGTGGATACAGTGGATCAACTATTAAACGGAAGATTTCAAATAGGAACATTGGATACGGGAGGTTGGCAGCATTGGTTTGCTAATTCATCGGATGCCCCCACTCAAAAACTTCTCAGAAAAATGGACTTGGTTCCAACAATCGAAGAGGGCTTACAAAATACCACCAAGGCATTCTTCTGGCCTTACGCTTTTCTTGGCTCAAAGTCACAGCTGGATTTTATAGTTAGAACCAATTTTACCTCAACGTAAATTTACTATGTATAGATCATATCATAATATACCAATATCTATAATTTTTAGTAATAAACGGTCTCTTTTACATATAAGTAAGGAATGTCTAGTAAACTTTAATGTGGCACTTGTTTTCCCAAAGAACTCTATATACCAAGAACTTTTAAACAAAGGGGTTATGTACTGCATCGAAACCGGCTTGGTACTCAAAATTAAAAATGATTTAGAGTGGAATACCATGAGAAGTTCCACGGGAAAATTACTATCCGTATGCTTTACCATGTACATCTTTACTTAAGTAATACTCACCGTACTTTTCAGGCAAACTCAAACACTCAAGGTCTCAAATCCTTAATTGTGGAAGACAGAGCTTTAGGTCTGGACGATACGCAAGGTATGTTTCTACTTTTAGCCATTGGTTTTGTAGCTGGTGGTGCGTCTTTACTATCCGAATGGTTGGGAGGTTGCTTTCATTTATGCAAAAAAAGCAAAACCAGAAGGCATAGTACAGATTCCATTGAAAGCAACCCAAGGACCCACGAATTCCTAACACCTAGGCAAAAAATCGATTCCATACAATACAACCATTCTTTACTCTTAAACCACACCTTAGGAAGTTACATTGATGTAGAGGGTAAAGATACCAACCACGTTGACTGTGTTGTACATCACGATAATAGCAATGATGATTCAGCTTCGGATACAGACTTTGAAGAGGAGATAAATAAGATATTTGAAACAATATTTGGAGAAGAAACTGATAATATAGAAAGTAACAATTTGGAAGAAATCGTTGACGAACCTTTTATAGATAGAGAAAGGAATGTAGAGAATAATAATAATAATACCATATAATAATAGCCTTTATTAAATCAATAAACATATTTAGTAACAATGTTTTTCTATTGCAACTTGCGATAAGATCCTTTATTGCTTTATGTTAAACTTTTTTTTTTAAATCAATAAGTAAAAATTGAATAAAGTATCTTATTTCGTCCTTTTTAGGACTCATCAGGCAAGTATAGTAATTTGGTGGATAAAATGATGAATTTTTGGATATTAAATTAAAAGAGTGCTTATAGGGCTATTTGTACATATCCAATAGGTCCTACATGCACCCCTATAACTAAACACCCTGCTCGAAAATGTTCTTTAAACCAACAAAAATTTCAGTGTTTCTCTAAGATGTAAAAAAAAAATTACAGTTACTTACACAGATATAAAAGCCCATTTAGTATCATATCTGAGGTAGATCCGTATAGATTCACAGCCATATTCCAAGGAGCATATATACAAAACATGGAACTTTTCACCGTTATATACCGGGTGTCGTTGAAATTACTACCGGAACACAACAAAAGTTCTTTCAAATGTTCTTGCAAAAAAGTCTGTCACTTTTAAAGACATTGGCACTGAACGTGTTGTTGGAAGTGTAACTTGGTGCGACGATAATTTTAAGGTTTACACTTTATATTAAGCGATGGTCCAAACTCCTAGCGTAAAATGTAACATCAAAAATATCCTAGCTCCAATTTTAAAGCTTTTTTGGTTGCACACGATTAATAAAGCACTTCGGCAGCTTCCGGGGGCAATTTGGTGGTGCTAAAACAAAAACATTACTACCTACTATAGACTAAAAATGCTTTTTCAGCTTACTTTAAGTACATAATACTGTACGGTTTAATACGACTTCACCCTGTAACAAAATATGAAATACTTATTAATTTCTGTTTTAATTTTTAAAAAAAAGAAGCACTGAAAAATTTGTTGATTTTCGATGACTTAGAGTAAGCATGCTAATAGAGCTATTGTTTTGCTAAAATAGCTCTAGAGTCACACTTCCTAAAAATCACCTGGTATAGGTATAATAAAACAACTGACTCTTAGCGTTACCCAGGCAGCACTACGAGGAAGTGGTCAGTGACGCTGCCCAAAAAGTTGTCCACATATTTAATAATTAGGGGCATTAAATGCCATTTTAGTCACGAATTTTAATTGGGAGCTAGTGTTTAATAAAATGAGTTTATAAACGAGTTGAATACTATACTTTTTCTACGACAATTATTATGTATAAACAAAAATTTATTACTAAATTAAATTTAAATATTTGTATAGAGCGACATCTATTCAAAAACAGAGTAACCTGTGAATCTGTTTTACCGGCCTTCAAAATGACAGTTGGTTGTAAAATTTTTCTTTAAAGAATCTTTATTAAAGATTAAAATGTACCTCTTGAAATGGACTAACAACTGTTAAAATCCGATATAGAAGCAGTTTTTTTGCAGTGAAAGTGAAAAGGGTATATAGAAAGACTTCAAATTATCACGGAGTTCAAAAGTCAAAATATTATACAACGCCGTACAATAAAAATACATTGAAATGCCATCTATCGTATCCAAAGTTATCCATTGCTAACATTTTAACTCCGTTATTATTGGAGATACAAAGTCGGTTAAAAAAGCGAATTGGTGGCGTTTTTTATTTCTAATTAAATGGTACAAACAGAAAAACAATTGAACGTCGGGTTTCCGAAATATTCACAATATTGTATATTTTTACATATTTTAATTTTAAGTTTAGGGTAGTTATGCAATAATTTTTTGTTCCAAATTAAATTGTCTTTTAAAATGTTACAAAATTTCTTTTTGTGAATATTTCGGAAACCCTACATTCAATTTGTAGCTTCAATAATAACGAAGTTAGCAATGGTGAGCAGATAACTTTAAAAACTCTGTATACAACACGGCGGAGAAAGCATACGAGTTGTGTTCAGAAAATAACGGGAATTGTTAAATTTCGCGGGTTCGGAAGGTCCGGTTGTCATAAAATTTTCTTTATTATGTTGGTATACATGCCCCCGAAGTATGATAAAAACTTTAGCTGTTTTCATTGTTTACTTTGTCTGTGGCAGCCGCTAAGGTTAGACGTGTTTTATGAGCTCGGCGATTTTTCGTTCGTTAAAAGAAATGGATCAAAGAATTTGTATCCAATTTTACTTAAAAAATGAAATAAATTCTGTGAAATGTTAACAAAGGCCTATAGTGAGTCTGCTATAAGTAAAACAAGAGTTTACAAGTGGTATAAGAGTTTCCAAGATGGCCTTGAAGACGTTGAAGATGACGAACGCCCCGAACGCACAAGCACATTAAAAACCTATAAAAACATGGAAAAAGTGGAAGAAATGGGTGTAAACCATCAGATAAGTCGCTGATGATGTTGGTATATCGATTGGTTCATCCAATGAAAATTTTTCGAATGTTTTGGGTATGAAACGCGTGGCAGCAAAATTTGTTCTAAAATTGTTAAATTTTGAACCACATTTTTGGCCAAAAACAATACTGTAATGATGCCCCAGCCTCCATATTCGCCAGACATGCCTCTGTCTGACTTTTTCCTATTCCCAAAAATAAAGAGAACCTTAAAGGGCCGTCGTTTTGCAAGCATAGATGACATTAAAAGCGCATCGCTGAAAGAACTAAAGGCTATCCCAAAGATCGAGTTTTAGAAGTGTTTCGAGTATTGGAAGAAGAGCTGGCACATGTGCATAATATCCAATGGAGACTATTTTGAAGGGGACAACATTAATGTAGACGAATAAATAAATATTTGTTTCAAAAAACTAAAATTCCCGATATTTTCTGAACACACCTCGTATGAACTGTTAGATAATGTACAATAAATAAGAATAAGTTGGGTTTGCTGTAGACCTTTAATGGATTTTTGTAGTCTCTATGCCAGAAGAACGATTTAAATTAACGTTTTTCTGCAAAGAAACTTAAAAAATCCATCAATTTTTTTAGGCGATTTATTTGAGGATATTGGCAGAGTTTTGTAGAAATTTCAGGGAAAGGAAAGTTATTAAAATATTTTCTCTCTCTTGAAAGTCCTTAAAAAATACTGCCGAGTTTGAAGTTTTCTTGAAACCTAACACAGTTTTATAGGACTTTCCAGGAAAGTAAATTGATAAAACATCTACCCCGCAAGAAAGTCCTGTAAAAATATGTCAAAATCGTCACATAAAAATATTCCTCAATGAAAGTTGCTGCAGTCATGGAAGTTTTTTCGGAGTCATATGCTGAACAAATGGATTAGTTTCATTTGTCCCGCATCATAATTCCAAAAAACCATGCCAAAATTTCGCTGATTGCGATCACACTGTTTTGACATTTTTGGCAAACTGTATGACTCATTAAACATTCATTCTGCCAAAAAAATCAAAATACCATGTCCAAATACAATGATGGCTAGTTTAAGTATACCTCCGAAAACATGCGTCCAGAGCTGGAAGCAATAATGGTGAAAACAAAATGTTGGAAAATAACTCAGAAACGATAATTTTATATTTAATTATCGTCCAAAAGTTACCTAACAACGCAGTGCTTTGAAAATCATGGTTTTGTTGAGAAATAAAATTTAAAAAAAATCAGGAATTAGTACATTTAAGAACTCATACCATATACGCAACAAAATTGGGCAATTTAAAAAACTTATAATTTCGGTCGTAAAATTATGCAAATATCAAAAAAAACCAGACCAGTTTTCTTTTAATTGAAGAACAACTGGAAGGGTTTTCTTGTACATTAGGCATAACTATATATAACATAGTTGAACAAAGGCTTTAAATTGGACTCAAAGCAGGGAATTTGGCATCTTAATTATAATAAACAAAACTTAAGAGGCCAGTTTCCTTACTCTAAGTCCAATCAATCATATTTTTATATAATTTAGTCATATATACGATGAAGAAAGGATAACGATTTCAAGGTATGCACTAATGTACCTGAATTTTAAATTAATCTGGCACACTAGAACTTACCTGAAATAATCACCAACTGATTTTTTCAAAATATATTACAAGTTTAAAATACCCCTTCTTTTCCTGTTTCACTTCCACCTTTAACTATTAACTTTTCAATTTTTTCACCACTACTGAAATCCGCCATATTGCATTTTCTTTTTATAACACCTACCACCTCCATTTAACCTAGGTATGTGACAAAGTCCAATGGTTCCGTGATAAGAAACATCGTGGATTTTTTTTTGTAAGTATTAACATTTTTGATGTTATTTCTTCAAATATATCATACGTACTGACAAAAGCTCTACTGAAAATGCTATTTCAGCATTATTGAAAATTCCGAAATAATGTGTATTTATAATATTCTTTAAAATTTATATATTACACACCTATATTTAAAAAAAATACATTTTTTTACATAAATTACATTTTTAATAAATATAATTATTACAAAAAACATTCTTTAAATTATTTTATGGCGTCACATTGATATTATCGATTTTATTTAGTCTAAACAAAATCAACGAAGTGAGCTGCATTTCAGTTGACTCATTTTAGATAAAAAAAAACATCAAAATACACGTTTAATTGCAATTTATTATCATTAAATGAAAATAAATTATTTTAATATAATTACAAATAAATAATCAACTTTGTTTCTAAAACCAGCTCTATTCCATATCCATAGCTTTCCATTCAACTTTTTTTAATTTAATAAAACTATTTATTCAATTTTTAAATTATACAAAATGAAATGAAATCAAAAAAAATATGTTGTAGTCAGTCTAAAATTAAAAAAGAAGTCATTATTGAGGGTACGTTCTAGGAATCCCCTTACATTTTAAAAAAATATGCAAAAAGCCACCAGGCACCAAAACTAAGACCAAACAAAATGAGGTGCTGGAATAAAACAAAAAATACTTGATTAGTTGGTTGTAATAAAATAAAAAAGACAAAAAAACAACACATTTAATGTTGTAGATACTACAATTCCACATACTGCAGTAGTGATTTAAAGCATATTTTTAAAACTGTAAAAATCATTACTAGATTTAAA